GTGTCAGAGGGTTCCATGGTCCTGTGTAGCTCAGCTCTTTACAACTCACAGCTCTTGAGCAAGCCTGCAGAAATTACATTTCCACAGGTTGAGCCCACATGGTCCCCACAGGATCTGCCCCAAAGACCTAGTTCTAATGCATGCCTCTCGGTATCATGGCCCAGTCTCAGATTATCTGCCCTTGCTGTGAAACTAATTGGCAGTAGTGTAATCTTTCCCTGCCAGACAGGCCCCCAGTTCTACCTTAAGTGTGCACTGGTGGATAGTGGTATTCCATGTTACCCATCCCAGCTCACATTTCCCATGTGGGCATGTGTATCTGCCTGACCCAGAAATTTCCTCAGTTCTACCTTCAAAACCACTAGATGTTAGCCCCCTCATTTACCTGCAAGAAAAATGGCTTCTGGATACGAAGCAGATTAGCAGAACACACACTGGCACCTATATGGCATTTGGTGCATGCAAGGTGAGGGCTTTCACCCCTAGCCTTCTGTGCCAGGCCTCCTTTCTAATTTCTCCATCTGCAGTTTTCAAATTAATAAATCTTTCAAAAATAGGGAAACAAACATGCCAAATCTAAATGGAAGCCATGTTTCAAGAGAAAATATTAGTTTTTTTTTTCTAGAGAGATTGTACTTGTAGTACGAGCTTTTTTGATTATTAGGGTTTCCATATCACTTTTTTTAAAAATTTATTTTCATTTTTATTTTTTTTTTTTTACAAAATCATATATATAGAGAGGAGGAGAGACAGTGAAGAAAATCTTCCATCCTATGATTCATTCCCCAAGTGACTGCAAAGGCTGGTGACGTGCTGATCTGAAGGCAGGAGCCAGGAACTACCTCTGGGTCTCCAACATGGGTGCAGGGTCCCAAACCTTTGGACCGTCCTGGACTGCTTTCCCAGGCCACAGGAAAAGAGCTGGAAGGGAAGTGGAGCTGCCAGGATTAGAACCCTTGCCCATATGGGATCGCAGCATGTTCAAGACAGGACTTTAGCTGCTACGCCACTGCGCTAGGCCCTCTATATGACTCTTAATAATTTGTCAAATATCATGACGCAGGAAGTTCCATGTGTAGTTCTAAGTGGTAACTTTTATCTTTCAAGCTGCATATGACTCTAACAACATAAACATCCTCTGCTCAGTAAAGAAATGATGAAAGGACCTCAGTAGGTAGTTCTCAAAATGTAGCCATTTGGAAAATGTAAATCAAAACCATAATGACATACCTCAACCCTGTCAGAATGGCTATTAGTAAAAAATGGGAGCTTTTATACAATGTTGATGGAGTTATAAATAAGTCAGCATGTGAAAAATAGTATAACATTTCTTAAATGTGTAGAAATAAGATTGCTGGGCCCAGCACAGTGGCCTAGCAGCTAAGTTCCTCCCCTTGAACATGCTGAGATCCCATATGGGTGCTGGTTCTAATCCCAGCATCCGTGCTTCCCATCCAGCTATCTGCTGTGGCCTGGGAAAGCAGTGGAGGATGGAGCACAACCTTGGGACTCTGCACGTGCATGGGTGACCCTTAAGACCTCCTGACTCCTGTCGCTGGGTTGGCACAGCACCAGCTGCTGAAACCACTTGGGCAGTGAATCATCCGATGGAACACCATCCTCTGTCACTCTTTGTCTCTGTATATCTGACTTTGCAATAATAAAATAAATCTTTAAAAAAAGATTAAATAAAATTAAAAAGTTTAAATGAAATGTAAAAATAGTAAATGTAAAATGTGTGCAATCTCTCTACTAGTTGTATTTTCTGAAAGTTATGAACACATTGTGTAAAAGAGATACCATCATTTTTATAGCAGCGCTATTCATAATACACAAGATATGGAATGAATTGAGGTGTCCATCATTGGATAATTGAATAAGGAAAATATACTATATGTATACAACAGGCTGTTTTTCAGCTGTGGAAACAAAATTCTGTGTATTATGTCAAAATGAGGTTAGGTAGAATGAAAGATGCTGAGTGAAATATCCTAAATAAAGATGTACAAATATGATATTCTGAAATGTGGAGTAGCAGAAAAACATCAGAAGCAACAATAAAAAGGGGGGGAAATTGTATATATCAGTATTGCTGCAAACATGATTTGTCACTTTTGCTTTATATTATTGTCACATATCGAATGATCATATTCTACTGTAGTTTCAATGATCTGTGTAGATTGTATCATTGAAACGTATCTCTTCATTTCAATATGTATTTTTTTAAAGATTTATTTTATTTATTGGAAAGTCAGATATGCAGAGAGGAGGAGAGACAGATAGGAAGATCTTCCCTCCAATAATTCGCACCCCAATCTGAAGCCAGGAGCCAGGAACTACTTCCGGGTCTCCCACACTGGTGCAGGGTCCTCGACTGCTTTCCCAGGCCACAAGCAGGGAGCTGAATGGGAAGAGAGGCCACCAGGATTAGAACCAGCGCTCATATGGCATCCCTGTGCGTTCAAGGCGAGGACTTTAACCACTAGGCCACACTGCCAGGCTCACATTTCAGTGTATTTATAGCGCTTACCTATTTAATCATTTGACTTTCCTTTTAATGATTTACTGAAAAATTAACATTTTGAGTACAATATGAATTTCATACATGTTATTTCAAATGCTTAAGGGTAATGGGCAAAAAGGGAAGATTCTAAGAAAGTATCATACTGTGAAAATTATGCATATCAGTTACATTAGCTCTGTTTTTATGTTAAAATTAGTAAATAAATAATTGGGGCAAAAGAAAACCCAAATAAGTGGTTAATGCTAAGGGACTTCCAAAACATTAAAAATAAAAAACAGAAGGACTAGGTTTGTTACAGCATGGCATGTGTCTTATATGTGCGTTTTCCCTTCAGCTGGCAGGCTGTGACTGGCTGACACCAACTAATTGTCAGAAGAAGATCGTTCTGAATGAGACATGAGACAATCATTTGTGTCTCTCCTAAGCTGCAGTTTACTATGCAGCAATTAAAAATTCAATTTAATTATGTGATTCCAGAAAAAGTAATGCAAAAACAAGGTAGAAAGAATTTTAATATGTGTACACTCGAAAGTGAAAAAAAGAATATATACACATATATATAGGTTTATATATATACACTGGATTTACATCTATATGTATTCCAGATTTTTTAAACTTTTGAGTATGTACATATATGATGTGTATTATTGATATATATTGTCATATATATATTTGATTCTAGTATAAGCGATAGGAAATGTTTCCTCATGCAAGTACAGTTTAATAATTTCAGTATTTCATTACTTCACTTTGAAATAAGAAAATTGAATCTTATTGTTTTATAATATTTTAAGTTTCTCAGTATGTATGAGGAAATCATTAATAAGCTGTTCACAACTTTTCTCATTCTCTTGTGTAATGCTTAGATAATTAAGCATTTATCTTAATTATCTAATCTAGCATGAAATTTAGCTGTGTATCTAAGGATTGCACAATTTTAACTCATTTTATGGTTATCATAGAAAACAGTCTGATACAGAATAGTAGCTGGAATGGTAGCTTCAGAATTGCAAACACAATACAGGCCCAAATTTTTATTTGGTTTTTACCCCGTGCTGCCATATAGATTGCAAATTAAGCTGTATTCCTAGAAGATGCAAATTGAACACACAGAAGAAATAAAAGCAGCTTAGTGTTATAGGTGCTGAGTTAATATTTTGGCTCAATGTGAACATGATTATTTATGTTTATGTAGTTGAAAAGCAGAGTGGCAATAACAGGGACAAACTGTGAGTGATGTCTTCCACTTGAAGAGATCCTCTAGCAATGCCTTTAGCAGTTCATTAGAATGAGAATCTCTTTAGAGAACACAACCTTCAAGAGAATAAGGAATATTCTGTTGTAATATTGGAATTGCAAAGTAATACAGCACAAGATATTTTTCATTTAACTGTTACTCTTAATGCTGTATACATTGTAAATTAAATTGCAGACATAGAAGTTGCAAATTAAATATACAGAGAATGCACTGTCAGTGTTTCTATTTAGTGATCTAGAACTGAGGAGACATGTGTTGTGACAGGTGTGGGTGTCCTTTGAAGATGTGGCTGTGGACTTTACCCAGGAAGAATGGCAGACAATGGACAATACACAGCGGACCCTGTACAGGGAGGTGATACTTGAGACCTATAACAATCTGCTGTCCTTGGGTGAGTGAAGTTCTGCCATGCCTAAGCAGAGTACTTCTGCATAGTTTGCTAATGAAAGAAGTTTACAAAGTTTAGTAGTTGGTAGGACTAGTGGTGATTTCAGAAAATCTACATCATTCTCCATTAACAGGGTACTCCATGACAAAGCCTGATGTGATCTTCAAGTTGGAGCAAGAATCAGCACCATGGACAGTGGAGAAATCTGTCAAGCAGAGACTTCCAGGTAGGTCAGCACATAATGAGCAGGGAACTTAATACACAGCTCAGTAAATGTTGACTGGAATGATATTTGATTTTTAATTTAACTTTCTTCCACAAGGACAGCTGGTGAGACACAGGCATTCTATAGTCTCCATGTGTAAGTTTATTCTAACAATTTGCCAGCCTGTCACTATCAATCTGGGACCATATATGGGTTTTTTCATGATCCCAAATGCTTGAGTCACATCTGCCACCTCCCAAGATACATTTTCAGGAAGTTGCATCTGTAGCAGAGTAGCCAGGAAAAGACAAACTAGTGTTGAGATGGGATGTAAGATACCCCCGACCTTATTTTGAATTTTTAGACCGTTTTCTGTTACATGTAATTTAACTTAAATAGCAATCTCATGTAATTAAAATTTTTTATTTAAAAAAATGGGCATTATGTTAAGGCATTAATAGGATAAGATGTAATAACTATTAATGCGCATAAATATTCACATTTTACTAATACAAAAATGTGCTGGACCTAGAATGGCAACAAATGGCATTGCCTTCACTTGGGCATTTGAAAAGAAACATTTAGGTGTGATTCATAGGTATGTTTACCTTTTTCCTCATTTCAGATCTCCACGGAAAGAATGAGCTACTTGGAGCTAATCAGAAAGGTCAAGAAATAATCTTCAGGTAATTTTTAATCACAAAAATTCTATGGTAACCAAAAAGAGCTGCATTTCCACAAAGATGCTTAGTATTAGCTCTGGGCATAATTGAAACACAATATGAAAGGGAAATTGTACAAAAATGAGACTTGAGAAATAAGATTTGATGCTTTCTACTTTTTTTCCTTTTTTATTTGTAGACAGAAGTTTTATTTGCAAAATGACCAAGTGTGTGTAGAAAGCAAAGGGAATCAAATAGCATTTCTTGGGAGAGAGCCAGGAGATGGTGTGTGTTTTGAATGGAGACAGCAAAATTTTTCAGAAGGGTCTCAGATTTTTAAATGTCCCCTGAGCATTCCTTGTCTGGACAGGAGCCTGTGGGTAAGACACTTCCCATTGGTTGTCTCTCAACCAGCAAGGAAATAGCTTCTATTACTACTACAGAGCGCCTGCTTCTTTGGCTGTATAGCACTCAGAGGTAGGAAGCCACATGAGTGACAAAGTTGATGAAACTTTCCCTTTCTCAACTCATGTATGAAGTGTAGAGGGGGTCATCCAAAGGCCCAGATAAGTCATTTCTAGAGATTAAACCAGAAGGCATGGCATGGTAGCCTAGTTGATGGCCCTTGCCTTGCATGCACTAGGATCATATATGGACACTGGTTTGTGCGCTGGCAGCCCCACTTAAGATATAGCTCTCTGCTTGTGGCGTGGAAGAGCTGTTGAGGACAACTCACATCTTTCTGACCCTACACATGCATGGGAAACAAAGAAGCTCCTGGCTCCTGGCTCCTGGCTTTGACTCAGTTCAGCTCTGGCAGTTGTGGATTTTTGGAAAGTGAATCATCACATAGAAAATATTCCTTTGTGTCTCTCATCCCCTCTCTGTATATCTGAATTTCCAGTAAATATAAATAAATCCTAAATTGAAAAATTAAATCCAAAGTGAATATTTGGTGGTGCCAGGACTCTCATTACTGCTGCAATGAGGATAAACCAACCTGAAGCATGGAAAAGTAGCCCAGAACTTTGGTCCCATGCCATGCTGGAGTCCAGCACCAGCCGGGTTCAGAGCTCGGGAAGGGTGCGTGGAGTCGGCTTTAAAGAAAGACACAGACACAGACACTTGGTGTGTCTTATCAATGCTCAAGAAAAAGCTGTCCTTATTAACTCAATACCCTTCTCAAGCTTCTACACAAGCAACTATTCTATTTTTTTTTCTTTTCAATGTTAAGGGGGCATGTACAGATATTTGGTCACTCCATCTGCACTTCAAGGCTAAGCAGGTGCTCCTAAAGATAATTTTGCAAAATATTGTGTTCATATTCTTCCAAGCAAGCTATTGTTTATTCTTCAACAGCAGTCATGGAGGAACAATCAGGACTCCAAGGCCAAGGCACATGCGATTACCTGCTAATTAGTAGTACTTTCCCACAACATTTCTGCTTCTACCGTTTTTCCCATCACTTAATGGGAAAATAGGTTACAAGAGAAAAAACCTAAAATCTAAAACAGAAACTTCAAATGTTAAATCCCCCTATAGTTATAGACTCCTACAACCCCATAAACAATAAAGCAATAATCAAAAACATTTTTTAAAAGATTTTTTATTTTTATTATTTTTTCATTCGAAAGGCGGATATACAGAGAGGAGAGACAGAGGGGAAGATCTTCCGTCCGATGATTCACTCCCCAAGTGAGCGCAATGGGCCGATACTATGCCGATCCAAAGCCAGGAGCCTCTTCCGGGTCTCCCACGCGGGTGCAGGTTCCCAAAGCTTTGGGCCGTCCTCGACTGCTTTCCCAGGCCACAGGCAGGGAGCTGGAAGGGAAGCGGGGCTGCCGGGATTAGAACCGGCGCCCATATGGGATCCCGGGCGTGCAAGGCGAGGACCTTTAACCACTTGCGCCACCGTGCCGGGCCCAAAACATTTTTCTTTAATAAAAGCATCCTTAATTCCTCTAGCTAAAAATCATAAAAGCAGCTAAAATAATTACATTTTCCAGGCTCCAAAAAAATTGAAAAGGCAGGCTAGCCTTTGAGATAACAATGGCTATATTTATTGCCATAGCAGTTTCAGCTCTCACTCCCATCACTTGCATTAGTATTTAAGACATATATATCAAGCCCCTTCCCAGAGGGTGTGCTGTATGACTGGGCCAGGCTCTGAGGCAATAGTTAGCACACAATAAGTTGGCCCAAAGTGACATGGGCTTAGTTGTGCTCCTGCATGTTAATTGTCAAAGGCCCACTCACCAAGACATTATCAGTGACATTAACTCTTAAGCTCACATCGGTGCAACAACCTGCAAAAACTGTCTCACAGGGGCAAACAACAATGCCTCAAAAAAATACAGAATTCTTAGTGGGGTGCTTGAATTTCCATGCAAACAGGGGTGAAGCAGTGTCAAGGTGGTCAGAGAGAAATCCACCAGGCCCTGCCAAACAGCTGGAAACTCCCCCGGGCCCTGCCAAGCAGGGGAGCTGTTCTCTTCACACCTTCGTGCCATCCACACCTACTGCACGGACACAAGCAATGCCAGGTCGTTGGGATTCAGGATCTACTTAAGGAATTTCAAGTCATGCAGAAAATTGGCCTTTTGCATTGACTGTCATTACTTCAACATGAGTTTTCCTGTTTGCTTCCAAAATGAAAATTGACGTGATAGGAAAAGTGAAAATAGGTAGTTGGTGCTTAGAATCTCTTGAGTCTTAGATGGTTGTACTTAATATCTCTGCCCATCACCCCCTAAAAGTATAATCCATCTGGAGGTTTAATCAGAGTTAGGCAGTGGCTTGGTGTTAGGTGGTGGGTGGACATGTTCATGCTTCTGCAGAGGGATCGGGTGCCAAGGGTCATTTCCACAGGTTCAGTACAAACCTTGTGGAGTCTTCTCTTTGCTAAGTCCAGCCACATAGCTCTTGTATAAGAGCCAACACTCTTTTTCAAGTTCCATATTGTGCACTATACAAAATGTTACCAGGAAAGCTCAGTGGTCCTTAACTGAGCTTAGTATTGAAACAGAAAATGGAAACCAGTTGTAGAAAAAACTTTTACTTGTTAAATGACCAGCTGAACTTGGAAGAGGGGTGGGGGAAAGCAACTCCCAGGAGGGGCTCAGAGATCTGTTGTCTTGAAAGGAGAGAGGAAATGACACCATAGTTTATTATTTCAAATTTCCCTTTTCCCGCAGGAAACCTGTTGAAATGACATTTGAGAAAATTCAATCCTCTAATGTCCCTGAGAACAACGTCGAGAGTGGGGAAAATCTCAGTCAGCTTGACAAGATCCACATATGTCAGCATTCCAGTGAACACAAGGGGAAAGAGAAAGGTTTCAGCGGGGAGAAGATAATTTTTCCGTGTGAGCTTCAGAGAACCAGCATGAGGAAAAAACGTTATCAATGTAGTGAGTGTGGAAAAGCATTTTTTTATAAATCAAACCTAATGATTCATCAGAGTATGCACACAAGGAAAAAGCATTATGAACGTAGGGCGTGTGGAAAAGGCTTTTCTTGTAAGCCACACTTCATTGCCCATCAGAGGATCCATGCAGGGGAGAAATATTTTGAATGCAGTGAGTGTGGAAAAGGCTTTTCTTGTAAGTCAAACCTCATTAGACATCAGAGGATCCACACAGCGGAGAAACCTTTTGAATGCAGTGAGTGTGGAAAAGGCTTTTCTCGTAAATCAAACCTCATTAGACATCAGAGAATCCACACAGCGGAGAAACCTTTTGAATGCAGTGAGTGTGGAAAAGGCTTTTCTTGTAAGTCAAATCTCATTGCACATCAGAGGATCCATACAGGGGAGAAACCTTATGAATGCAGTGAGTGTGGAAAAGGCTTTTCTCATAAGTCAAACATCATAGCACATCAGAAAATGCACACAGGAGAAAAACCTTTTGAATGCAGTGAGTGTGGAAAAGGCTTTTCTCGTAAGTCAAACCTCATTAGACATCAGAGGATCCATACAGGGTAGAAACCTTATGAATGTAGGGAGTGTGGAAAAGGCTTTTCTCGTAAGTCAAACCTCATTAGACATCAGAGGATCCACACAGTGGAGAAAGCTTTTGAATGCAGTGAGTGTGGAAAAACTTCTACTCAGAAGTCACACCTAATCATGCATCAGAGAATGCACACAGGGGAAAAAAACAAATGAAACTAGTGATCGTGGAAAAGCTTTTCTTGTAAGTTATACCTCATTGCACAACAGAGAGTCCACACTGGGGAAATCCGTATGAATGTAGTGAGTGTGGAAACCTGTCGTATTTTGTTCAACATCAGAATTCACATGGGAAAAGCATGAATGTATTACACATGTGTTAAAATTTATACACACATTTTGAGTGCAGTGGAAAGCATCCATGCTTCAATAATTAGCATATCCACAGAAATTAGTAACATATCACTGCATTGACTGAAAAATCATTTTTCTGAAGTGAATTGTTAGCAGATTCACACACAGCAGATCTACGAAAGCATCTAAACAGACTAGCTAACATAAACCTGTTATACTCTGTCAGAGCTTACAAAGTGAATGAAATGACCATTAGTAAGAGTACAAATATAAAACATTGTAAAATGGCCATGGATGTGGAAACATATTTTGAAAGTCTCAGCAAGTGTTAAACAGTAAACATGAGGAGTGTCATTTCAGAAGAAAGTTGTTGCTATAACAATTAAGACGCAATTTATATGTGATGTCCCTTTGTTGTGCGGTGGGGAATGTGGATGAATTCTGCTTTACATTTAATGTTAATAATAAATGTTCAGTTGGTAACACTTGTTTGAAAAACTGTCTTTTTGTGCTCACTTCAACAGCATGTGCATGAAAATTGGAATGATACAGAGATGATTAGCATGGCCCCTGTGCAAGGATGACATGCAGATTGGTGAAGTGTTACATATTTAATAGAAAATAATCCATCTTTGTCATTTACATATTTATTTAATAGAGCTATGTTAGAATCACAAAATTCCACTCCATGTTACAGAATTATGTTGAAATCACAGATACCAACTGATGCATGTGGCAATTGTAATGATAAAGATGTAGATTTGAAGGATGAATCTTGTCCAGAGGGAAGATTCTGTTGTGATATCTGGCCAAATGTGGATCCTCTTTGGCCACTGTCTCTCCCTGAAGAATCACTGTGTGTGATCACCCCTGGATCTCTGCCTGCTTATCCCATGCAGGACGCCATAGGCACATGGCACATGTTGTTTCCAAGGCAAAGCCCTGGCAGTGGTCTCAGCTAAGAGAGACTCCATCTTGGCCTGTTCACCGGGCATACATCCAGAGTAGTAGGCTATATCCCAATCTCTCTGTCCCTGAGAAGCTGTGCTAGAATTTTTCTGATAAACAACTCTAACAAGGTAAGTGCAACCCTCGTCTTGTTTACCAGTCACATGTAATGATCATACCCAAAGGCATAGCTTTCAGCCCAGGTGCTAGCATAGCTTGGTCTACCAGCACATGGCCTAAAACACTAAGCTACCAACCCTGATTACAAAATGTAACTGGTGACTTGCTTAGTGTCCAGAGTGATAGGCTTGCCTACTGGCCAGTTAAAATAACAGTGAAGTGTTGGAGTAGTATGAGTACTATTGAGTTTGCCCTTCTGCCTTCCCCCTCCATTGTATAAATGCTTATATGATCTTCCCATTAAATGGACATCCCTCACCAGTTTGTCTTTGGTGGTTCTGCAGCCACACAACACCATTGCCATTGCCTTCAGGAGTCTCGGGGACTGCTGGTCAAAAGACACCCAAGACTCTAGGAGGCATATCTCAGAGACAAAATAATTGTCTGACATCAGACTCCTGGAGTTCCTCTTTCTGGTGCAGTTTATGTGTCAGATGCCACCACTACTGCTCAGCGTCACATTAATCTCATGCACCATGGTTTCCCACAGTAAATGTCTTGCCATTGTATGAGCTACTAGATACCAGTCTGTGCATAAAGTCTTTCAACTGTAAGAGTGAACACCAGGACCAGCACTGTTCCATAGTAGGTAAGTTGTCTCAGATCCTAGTCAATCCACCATGATTTTGCTCTTGACTTTTGGTTTCACAGAAGCTCAGCTACTGCAGCTCAGCCATTGGAAATATGAACCAGTGGAGGAAGATAACTTTGACTTCTGTCTTTCTCACTGTAATTCTGCCTTTCCAATAAAGAAAAAAAAATTAAGAGTGAATACCATGATTGGTGTTGAGGTAAATGGATAGTTTATGTTAAGCTTATTGACATGTATCTCATGTGTGACAACCTGGACCACTTCTACTTAATGTTTCGAGTCAAGGCCCTAACAAGACCAACAGTGATGAGCACTGAATGCAAGAGTGGCAACTTTTTTTTTTTTCCAAAATGTGCATGTAATCAATGCCTTACTTCAACGTCAGAATGAAGTTTGTACACACCTACCTGCTTCCCCCCAGAATTCTCATGTGAGCCCCTAGCTGTGAACTCTCTGCTGTTGTTTCTGATCAGCTCCTGGCTCAGGTCCTCCCTAGGAACACTGCTCAGAGAGCCTCCTGCAACAGATTGATTGAATATCTTGCAGTTTCCCTTTTAAAACATTCCCAGTCTCTGGCAGTATCCTAACATATTCTGGTTACATCATAGGAGTATGGAATAGGGTGGAAGAATGAGATTCATGAGGATTGGAAGAAAACAGGAGTGGGTCTTTTTTTTTTTTTTTTTAGTTATACATCCTGTTTCAGTGACCAAGGTTTGTACAACAGTCAAGACTCACTAACTAGATGTCTCCAGTGTTGAAAGGGCACAGCACGACCGAGTTTTTTCTCAGGAAGTGCTTTCCTTTACCTTCTGCTTCACCTGCTCACATGGGCACTTTGCAAATAAAACTTCTCTGTCTCCACTGCCAACATCATAAGGAGGTTGGGATTGGGAGAGTGAGACCTTAATGTCTGTGTGCAGAGACCTTGCAACAGCCTATTGGCTGCTGGGAAGACCCAGGCCTGGTCAGATTCCATGCATGGAGCCCTGTCTCCGGCCACTGCAACCACCCAGTGAGCTGACCCTTGGCATGCCTGTGCTCAAGAGGCTTCTCCCTGTTGAATGCACCAGGAGTGGATATCTTTGGGGAGAAGGCAGTCCTAGTCTCCATCCACCTCAAAAATCGTGTGATGGGTGGGACAGGGGGAAGGTTCGATCTAATAATTTTTTCTTGTTTTAGGTAGCTATGGATTGTGCGTTTGTGTGTGTGTGTGTTAGATCATTAAAGAGAAATTGGTATGATTATTTCCAAGTTTTCTATTTTTTTTCTTCCTGTTTTGGATCAGGGGTAAATGGTGTGCATAGAAGCTATACCCAGCCATCCAACCATCCCAGTACCTAAGGATGAGAACTGGACCCCCAATACCAAACCAGGTTTCTGTCCAGGTGGTTCTGATAGTTCCGAAATGATGTGCATCTCACCAATTCAAGGAAGAGGGAACTCTTTCAATGTTCATTGGCTGACATGGTTGACCTTAGAGTCTCCATTCACCTAGATATTTGCTGTCATCATTTGGCCAGAGCTGAGGTGATCTGGAGCCAGGAGCCGTTTTGGGTCCCCGACACACATGTGGGGTCCCAAGGCTTTGGGGCATCTTCAATTGCTTTCCAAGGCCACAAACATGGAACTAGGTGAAAGGTGGAGCAGCCAGGACATGAAGCATCACCCGTATGGGATATTGGTGCATACAGGACAAGTACCTGAGCCACTTGGCTACTGCTCTGGTCTCGGTGGTGAGAATTTTACTAAATTAGTCTTCCAACATTTGCATGTGTATGAAATACTAGTGAGTGCCCACCATTCTGAAATGCAGATACAGGGTGGCTAGATAAAAGCTGGCTATACCTGAGGTTTTCATTTTTGTGCATTTAGTAACACTGAGTGCCTGGCATGTAGAGCAGATGCCATTCTGTACATGGAGTGGATGAATGAACTCTTTTCATTCAAGAGTCAGATAACTATAAACAAGTAAATAAAAATAAAACAGGAAATGCAGGAAGAATACTCAGATTTCTTACTTTTAAAGATTTATTTATTTTTATTACAGTCAGATATACAGAGAGGAGGAAAGACAGAGAGGAAGATCTTCCATCCGATGATTCACTCCTGAGGTGAGCTCAATGGCTGGAAGCCGGGACCAGGAACCTCCTCTGGTCTCCCATGTGGGTGCAGGGTCCCAAGGCTTTAGGCCATCTTCAACTGCTTTCCCAGGCCATAAACAGGGAGCTGGATGGGAAATGGAGCTGCTGGGATTAGAACCGGTGCCCACATGGGACCCCACTGCATTCAAGGTGAGAACTTAAGCCGCTAGGCCACACCACCGGGCCCATTAGTGGGATCTCAAAAGCCTGTCTTTCTAAGAGGCAGCAGGCCACATGCTAGAGCCCAGTCAGGTAAGTTCTTAAAAAGCAGAAGTAATCACTAAGACTTTAGACCTTGGACTATATCTACTTTCCTTAGCTCTTGGTCCACAAAATAATATAGATTGATACTTCAAACTTTTTTATGAAGAAGATAATTATGAGTTCATTTTGTATTTTAAATGCATACATATGAGGCAGTGTTTGGAAACTTATACAAATGGATATGATGAAAAACTGCAAAAAATTATCATTTTAAGAGGCCTTCCACGTGGGTGCAAGCTCTTGATCATTCTCCGCTGCTTTCTCAGGCACACCAGCAGAGAGCTGCATCAGATTTAGACCATCCAGGACTTGAACCAGTGCTCATACGGGAAGTGGGTTCCACAAGCAGCCAGGAGCTCTATGTAGTGTGCCACAGTGCCTGTCCCTGGAAGCACAAATAATAAATTAGGTGAAAAGGGACTAAGTGCAAATCAGACAGCAAGCCAAACACTATTTGTATTATCTCATCAACCCTGCCCATAACCACATTACGTATTTCATGGTATCCCTAAGTTACAGTTAATGAAATGGAATTGCTTAGTATATTAGACAATTTTAGAGCTGGGAATTTGAGCCTCAGGGTATCTGACTGAAACCTTTGTCCCTCGCTTTGTCCAGTTTTTCTCTGCAGCTGAAGGAAGTAAAGCTTCATTTATTCTGCACATGCAGAAGTTTAATCAGTTATTGTGTTTCTGAAAGCAGAGATGCAAACTCCTCTGTGGCTTCTTAGAGAAACCCTCTAGCAGCAGTGGCCCCGTTAAGTAGTTGTCACTTGTCTCCTCCTCAATCAGTCTAAGGAGTTTGGTTTCCTTGTGTTTTGTTAAGTCCAGGCCTTAGAGTGTGCAGCTGAGAAGTTCTTTGATTGCAGCTTTCTCCGCTGAGGGAGTGGAGCCTGATGCCTGTCTTCATTGCAGTGTATGATAACATTAGACACTTTGTTGATGAAGTGATTTGCCACAGTCTGAGATTCTCTCTCATACAACCTCTCCTCTTCCTCCTTGCTGTGGTTTATAATGACCACACGATGGCGCTGCAGCTTTGCAGAGCCTGAAGGAATTGTCAGAGGAGCACACCAACTGTGATGGTGAGGCTGGTGGAGCATTAGTTAGTAAAGGCTCAGAGGGATTGCACAAAAGCTGTTGTTTTAGAACTTCCCTGAAGGTCTCCAGTAATGGTGGGTAGTGCTATGCCAGTGCAAGACGTGCCAGCACAGAGCCTGATGGGCCACTTGGTGCTGCCTAGTCTGGACCTTTGTGATGTGCACATCTACCACAAGGAAGAAACATCTGTAACTGTTCTCCCATTGCATTTGGAGCCTTTTGGATAGAAGTGTTTTCTTACCTGACAGACTCTCTACTAAATATACATATTTATGTAGAGAGGTTGGGAGAGAATGTGTGTGTGTGTTAAGGGAGAATAATAGTGACATTACAGATTTTGTTTTGTTTTTATTTTGAAGTCAGATCTAAAGCAAGAAGAAGAGAGAT